AAACTCCGCCCAGTATATAACTGTCATGGTATTCCAAGGCAGGAATTTAGTTTACTATAAGCGGTCGGAGGTGAGCTCTGTTTTTGTGATGTGTCCCAAAGGCAGTGATTCGGAACCCCCAACAGTCGATACTCTCTGTCACGCGACTTACCACAGCCAAGCTAGTCTTCCTCTACTGCTGTTACTTTTAGCATGTGGTACATGTTTTTTTATGTACGAATGCCCTGAGTTTTGCAGGCATCAGTTTGACAATGTAAACTGTACTTGTATATTTGTACTCTTAATTTCAATAAAAATGTATTTGAGAAAAAAAAAATGTGTATAGAAATTCCGATAATTTTTTTACTTCTCTTATCTCCCCTTTGGTCTGTTAAATATACAATTTAGCCTTTTGTCATGTTTTTGATAAGAGAAAGAGGAGGCAGGGCTGACACTACTCAGTCCACAAAAATGCTGTGTGTTCTCAGCTCACAACAGGACTTGAGTCCAATTCTGGCAGATCAACATTTTCAGTAACACAATGATCAAACAATGAGCAATGGGACTTTCAGAAATCCAGGATAGTGAGCTCTTGTGTGAGTTGGAAATGCAGAATCCCCCAGGGCAAGGAGTCTAAGCCCCAGCCAGGTTTTCTCCAGAACTCCTGATGGTGGAGATGGTTTTGCTTCGTGCCGGTGCTAGGTTGCGACCCCCAGGTTCTTCCTGCAGCAAATGTGGAGACAAACTGCCAAAGGATATGGACACAAGGCAGAGTACAGACAGGCAGAGACTAAGAGAATTCCCAGGAAAACAGACAAAAGGTCAGGACAGACAGCACACGAGTGAATCCAAGAGACAAAGGCAAGGTCAATCCAAGGAACCAAATTGTAGGACAGGGCAAAGGCACAGACAGGAGCTTAGAGGCAAATGGAACGTGCCTGACAGGACTTAAATAAGGAGATAGATAGGGGGCTGGGCAGTAAGTAGCTAAGAGGCAAGGTATATTAACCTTTAGGTGAGGCAGGTGACACCCATAGCTGCTAGCTCTGTGCAGCAAGGAGCAGAGCACACGCTTGTAGAACTATGGGTACCAGCAGAACCACATCAGCAAAGAGGTGAGAACAATCCACAGACCTGCGGAACCACAGGTAACAGATCAGCTCTGCAGCTGACCTGTGACAGGGATTTTTCAGGTGTTACTTCAAAGGATTCATACAAGGAGAGTACTTAAAAGTTTAAAAATGCTTTGTATTATAAAATAAATATTTAAAAGATATCATAACAATTGGGTGCTTGTGCTGATATACTTGTATGGTACACATAGCTGCTTCCACATACCACCCTCATATACTCTTATGATTGTAACGAGCCCCTGCTCGCTCGGTTCACTCTCCTGGCACTCCTCTGCTACTACTGGATCAGATGTCAGACCACAACGTCTGATTTCTCGGTCGTCCGATGCTCCGGGATTCGAACTACTGCTCTGTGCCGTTCGAATCCAGTTGTGATAGCTCAGAACAAACACCAGGCTGTATGTAAGTTCAAACAGGAATCTGCTTTATTGAATGCACACAACACACTTTTATACACAGCAGTTTGAACACCCCGCCCAAACCACCACCTTCCTCTTGGTCAATTGTAAAGTGCCTTCTAGTCCTCACTTAGGTCCTCTTGACCATGCAAATGAGGACTTGAAACAGGGTCAGCAGGGATTGGTCCGATATCTTGAATGGGAGGGCTGATATGTATAATGACACAGAGATGTCCCAGGAGATAAAGTATTCCAAGGACCATGACAATGATCATATTTAATATTTTGTTTACTAAATGTTCTAGTCCATATTCAACAATGCAATGGGTCTATACAAAGAACATAATAAAGGGTCCTTCCCAGATTTTGGTAGAAAGATGACATGAGCGTCATATAGCGAATCTGGCAAACACTCCCTGGCAAAACAGCAATCATATAATACTTTCAACCTTGGAGCCAAGTAAAATTTTTACCACTCTGCGGGAAAGCCATCAGGACCAGGTGCTTTCTCAGCGGGTAAAGAAGCAACAGCCCACTCTATCTCCTTTTCAGTGATCTCAGCGTCCAATAATCCCCCCCCCCCCCTCCCAAGACAGGGAAGCTCCAGCTCCCCAAGTAAGGAGTAGGAATAACTTTTTAATGCTTTGCATGCCAAAATGTTTTTCATATCATTCATAGCACATATGGGGACCTTCATTTGGTAATTAGTTTTTTGTATTACTCTGAATATATTCAGCAGAGTAATGGTCACAAATGTGAAAAATGCAATTTAAGGGGGTGTGGTTTGACTATGGAGCCTTAAAGAGCTTCTGTTTCTTGCTCCTGTGGCCGCTGCTCATTTAGCTCAGGTAATCCTTCCCTGTACTTCAGAGACCAGAGCAACCTAGCGGGTCTCGAGGTCAGGATTCTCCACCAGGAGCTCTCCTTAAATTGCCCAGCAATGAACCTATTGCCCTATTGCCTTGGGAGTGTTTTTTCAACATGAAATAATATTGTGGGAGGTTAGCAAAATACTTAATTGGTGGCGTAGACACCGCAGGGCAAACAAGGCGTCCCCAAATCGTTGCCGTTAGCCAGGCTGCCAGACAATTTAGGCAGCCGTTTGTTGGGTCGAGAGGCCGCCTAAGAGAGAGCTGCCGGATGAGAGAGCTGCTGGGTGAAGGAGTAGAGGTCGAGGCGGGACCTGAGTCGGGGCTGGGCCGGAGCTGCATGAGATGTGGCCTGGCCGCCCCAGGGCCCACTAACGGGTCGAACTGGGTCGGGGAGCAGGAAGCCGAGACAGGAGGCTCCGGGGGTGTCAGTTGGTACAGCGAGCTGCTGTCCTCCCTTCTTCTAGTGCGGGCTCTGCTGGAGGCGAAGCATCTGACTACTACACCTACTATGGAGACAGAGCGGCAAGCAGGTAGCATGGCCTGGGGAGGGCTTGTATTCTAAGTGTTCCCTTAGTGTTTTTCTGTGTTTACTTCCAAGTCCACTGTTTTGCTAATTCCAGAGCCCAGTGCGTCACTAAGTGCAGAGGCCAGTGCATCACTAAGATCGAGCCCAGTGCGTCACTAAGGGTCCTGAGTCCAGTGCGTCACTAAGGGTCCTGAGTCCAGTGCGTCACTAAGGGTCCTGAGTCCAGTGCGTCACTAAGGGTCCTGAGTCCAGTGCGTCACTAAGCGCGGAGTCCAGTGCGTCACTAAGTGCAGAGTCTGTGGTGGGCTATGCAAGGTCTCAGGTGGGCTTACAGGGTCACAAGATATCCTTTACAGCCTGCCTGAGACCCTGTCTTCCCTGCTACAGTATTAACGCACCCTGTCAGAAGCTGGATAAAGCATGCACGCTGTATCCAGCCACTGACAGGTTATGCAAAATGTGTCTTATACAGGAAGGGGTGGGTCAAATGTAGAGCGGGAGGGGGGCACCCGAGTGTAGTCTTGCCTAGGGCAGCACAAAACCTTAATACACCACTGGGTGTAGAGATCTAAGAGTTCATGTAGTTGTAGCGTCAGGGTTTTGTTTATTGGTAGGTTCCAATATTTCGATCTGGTCTAGAAGGGAAAGCAATTCCCGTTGGCGTTTTCTCTTCTAACGGGCCCCTATTTTGATCAATAAACCCCTAACAAAGGTCTTGTGGGCACTCCATAATGTTGCATACTTATCCACGGTGCCAGAGTTGAGTTCAAAGTATGCTTTTGGATGGTGTAATATTCTGCAAACAACTCAAACTCTGAAACCATTTATCAGAATAACTCAAAACGTTGCACATATGTCCACGGCAACCTCTTCTACCACGGTTGTAAAACCAGGCCCGATCCCCAAATCAATATGGCCGCCACAAGCCTATCACTTTTTGACATTGCATCCAATTGCATAAATGTGCATTTATATCACTAGTGAAGTATGTTAAACTTGTTATACATATGATAACTCATCATAACTGCCAAATACAATATGGCTTCCAGAGGTCACCAAGGTCGGCGTAGGTCTCAGGTGGGCTTACAGGGTCACAAGATATCCTTTACAGCCTGCCTGAGACCCTGTCTTCCCTGCTACAGTATTAACGCACCCTGTCAGAAGCTGGATAAAGCATGCACGCTGTATCCAGCCACTGACAGGTTATGCAAAATGTGTCTTATACAGGAAGGGGTGGGTCAAATGTAGAGCGGGAGGGGGGCACCCGAGTGTAGTCTTGCCTAGGGCAGCACAAAACCTTAATACACCACTGGGTGTAGAGATCTAAGAGTTCATGTAGTTGTAGCGTCAGGGTTTTGTTTATTGGTAGGTTCCAATATTTCGATCTGGTCTAGAAGGGAAAGCAATTCCCGTTGGCGTTTTCTCTTCTAACGGGCCCCTATTTTGATCAATAAACCCCTAACAAAGGTCTTGTGGGCACTCCATAATGTTGCATACTTATCCACGGTGCCAGAGTTGAGTTCAAAGTATGCTTTTGGATGGTGTAATATTCTGCAAACAACTCAAACTCTGAAACCATTTATCAGAATAACTCAAAACGTTGCACATATGTCCACGGCAACCTCTTCTACCACGGTTGTAAAACCAGGCCCGATCCCCAAATCAATATGGCCGCCACAAGCCTATCACTTTTTGACATTGCATCCAATTGCATAAATGTGCATTTATATCACTAGTGAAGTATGTTAAACTTGTTATACATATGATAACTCATCATAACTGCCAAATACAATATGGCTTCCAGAGGTCACCAAGGTCGGCGGCCATTTTGAATTTGAATTTTTTTATAATTCATAAAATCATCTCCTTTAAATCTCTCTAACTACAATATCTTCTCATGTGCTATGACCGGCTCTACTGCTTGGCCACCTTTTATTGCTGCTTGCAGCTATATTTAAAAAAAATTGGAACTGTATTTCACTGTCCATACCTTGACTTGTCTTGTTGTTTCCGTCTCTATACCTTGCCTGATGCTTATCTATTTGTAAAGGGTTTGTGTTCTATTTTATGACCTATATTACTTTTCCTGTAGGTGCAGAGGTCACTTGATAAGTTTTTCCACTCTGTTGTCACAGTAAATGAAAAAAAGTACTGCTCTGTTCTGCGGTAAGTTATATTATAATTCTGAATATTCAGTGTTTTTCATTGTGCACTTTGTAACCTACTCAGCTAGTAGTACACATTCTTCAGTTTGCAATGGGCTCATATATAGGCAACATCTCCCTTCGCTGTTTAAATAATAAGCAATCTTAAAATATTGTAAGTGTGTAAGATTACTTTTTAAAGATTTATATTTCCCAACTTTTCCTTTGCTTGGCCTGTGGATATTCACACCTTTGCAACATCAGGAATGTGTGCGATGCACATAAAGGAGCGTGCATGCGATTGTGCATCCCATACGCATATAGCATATGTTAGGTGCAGTGCTATTATTTCTTAATAGCACCTCAACACACCTAGTCTTCGCATGTGCATTGTATTGCACCACATTGCATAGTAATCTATTACCATGTCATATGGTGCAATTCGATTTTTAAAAAAAAAGGTGCATGCACTTTTTCAATGTGTTTTAGCTGCAATAGGCTTTCAGTGTGATTTAGATGCAATAGGCAGCCCATTCATATAAACCTACCTACTGCAGAATTTCACAATGCACCCTGCAGCACCTTTTACAATAACGCATCACAGAGGTGTGAATGGGACCTAAGAAGCTGAGTGACAGGTTGTGTTTGCAAAATGAGCTCATGCCGTTTGCAGGGTAGGAACTATAAGGTTTAGAAGGGTCACTCCACTCTTAGCTCCTGAATAGTCCTCAAAATAAATAAAATGATGCTGCTGTTTGTAATAGTATGTGACCGTTTAATCAGTGATTGCTCTGACACAAGTGTTCCTTCTCTCTGTTTTAAAAGACTTTTTACGCTCATTCACACAAGCCTCCTGCATTTGTTTTATTTAAACACAGGGATAATCGATCTGGGAAATATGAATAAACGTGATACCTCCCAGATCAATTTTTCCTGTGTTTACATGAGTTCAGAGTATCTAATCTGCCCCGGACACACAGATTTCTATTTTCTTCTAAACACGGCTAAATTAAATGCATGCAAATTCAACGTGTGAATTATACCATTCAAAATAATTCCATGCATTTGTATGCGTTTAGATGTCCTACAAAATATATACATGCATATAAATGCATGCCTGTGTGAATGAGGCGATTTTCTTTTCTTCCATTATTTCACTGTTTCTCATTTCTCTAATTAAGAGGTGATGTTAAGTGTCCATTATACTGTATACATATTGTGACTGGGGTAATAGTTAATGGCAAGATTGAAGATTACTTTTGTGTTGAGTGCACATGTGTTGAGTGCACATTGTGCCAGGGTGAATACCTCTGTGGCAGATGTGAGCAGGTTACTTTTTTGGAACTTTCATTAGAGTTCTGAAGGAACACAATGCAACTCTGAGGGAAAATGACAACCTTGCAGCTGGTAGCCACTGTCAGATTTCAATGAAAACAGCAGGGGATTCCTCCAGCCATGCTTGTAAGCATGGATGGAGGAATCTTCATTCAGCCCGCAGGTCGAATTAAGAAAATATAGCAGTGTATACCCAGCTTTAGTCAGGAAGGCCAGATAGGGAGTGAAATTACTGTAGTTAAAAGGAGTGGTAGGGACTCTGAGAAAAGGAAGGTCACCCCTGTGATTAGGCATCCAAACAAATTTGCTAAGTTTTCTTTTTTTGTAAATGTTTTATTTAAAGACTCTTCAAACATTACAAGCAGTACAAGGAATGTAGAACATCAAGAAAACAAGAACAGAGAAACTAGTACATAAATCTTCTCTAAAGATGTATGGGAATCAAGGACTCCGTGTCTCTGAGCAAGTAATGTTGAGATAATCGGGGTCATGTAATCCAAACAGGGGGTCATGACTCTGATGATAAGAGTGCAATTGCAGAGTAGATTGTGAACAAAATTAGAAGGAGTAGATAGGAGCATAAAAAGAGAAAGACGAAATGGGAAATGTTGAAGAAAAAAAAATGTAAGGAAGAGGAACACAGGAAAGGGGGAAACCCCTTCTCCATCCAGACCACGACCAGCTGGTGACAGGTTCAGTAGACCAGCAAGGTTTCATATTCTCTGGAAAATGTGCATTTGTGCCAGTAAAACCAGGTATTACTGAACTGTTCCTCGCGGTGTTGTAGAGACTGAGTAAGGTCTTCCATATCTTTAATTTCATTGACCTTTTGAAGCCAGAGCGAAATTGAGGGTGGCTTGGACTGCTTCCATTGAAGCAGGGACAGGACTTTGCAGCGTTAAGGAAATGTATAAGCATTGAATTATGATAACGTCTTTTAAACATGTTTTGAAGGTGGAGCAGGTATTTAGCCAGATGGGAAACCCAGATCTGTGCCAGTGACTAGGAGAATAATATCATGTACCTTATCCCAAAAAGGATGGATGATAGGACAGGACCAGAAAATATGAAGTAAAGAGCCAGTTTCTTTGCAACAACACCAGCACAGCGGGGAAGAAGATGTAAAGAGCCTGTGTAGTTTCTGTGGCACCATGTACCACCTAGAGAGTAGCTTATAACTGGCTTCTTGGAATTTTTTGGAGATGGAAGCTTTATGTGTGAAGTAGATAACATAGTCTCTCTGGTCATTGGACCACGTAATTCCCAGGTCTTTTTTCCATTGGGGATTGAAGTGCAGGATGAAAGTAGGAGAAGGCTGAATAACAATCTTGTAGCAGTGGAAAAGCATATGGCGAATCAACCTCTGGACATTGCATAGCCGATCAAATGAGGAAGCGGGGGAAGAAGCGTCCCTCTGTTTCAAAAGACCAAGGAGAAAGTGTTGATGCTGTTGAATTTGCCAGAAAGGAAGAGGTGGATCAGTCAATTGTTGAAGGGCTTGGATGATTTTGATAGCATTGCCTTCAAGAAAGTGGGTAAGTCTAAAACAATTGTTACATAAGAGAGGGAGAAATCTAGCATCCTGGAGGCCTGGAACAGAGTTAGGATGATCTATAATTGGGAGCATTCCTGAGGCCAAGGGGGGAGCAATCAGGATTTCAGATAGTGAGGTCAGTACTTGGAGAGTGGCAGAAGACGGGGTGGTGAGTGAACAGAGTCCAACTTGAAGCCTCCAGCCAAGGAAGGGCACCGAGAGGGAGTGTAGAATCTAACTGAGTCGAATGGTCTATGCAGGACATCCATCAGATATTTTGGGGCCCCTTACACTAAGCTTGGAGCGGTGGAAGTAGAAAAAAAAAGTGTGGTGTGCAATATAGTGAAAAGGAAAGTGTAAAATTATACAGCAATCAATGCAGAATGGCACTGGCTATAGAGGACTACAAATCCCAGCAATAATACATTATACAGCACAAATCAGAATATACCACCATACAGTGTATAACAGTGTATGCAGCCCCAGTCACATCAGTCTCTGTACAGTGGAGCTTACACTCTAATGTCCCCCCTCAGTCACATACTATTATTATACATGTTGTGACAGGGTACACGATTCTGTGTATGTCGGTGAGAGGTTGAAAAGGGCAGCTTTCCCTGGCTTGGAAAGGGTTAAGCCTGGCCCAACAGGTAAACCTCCTCTCTCTCTATTAATTAGCCTGCACCTGATAGTGACTGGGAGGGGGAGAGAGCTCAGAGTGAGATCCAGGCTGCACTGGATGGACGCAGACTGGATTTGGGGAATAAGGTCTGCCAGAACAAATGTATGTATTGGACTGTGTTTTTGTTCATTTATACTGGAAGCTGGAATAGCCGCTCCAGTAGGACGTAGTGAGGGACACTACTGTTTAGTTAGCCTCCTAAGGTGGAGTAGGCCTTTTTATTTGTGTTACTTTTGAGTTCTGCCGGAAATTGTTTGTTTAAAAGGGGGAATGTACCCTGTCGATGATAAGAGACTTTTATGTTGCATGCAATAAAGCTGCATTTATTGGCAATACTGAGTAAAGACCAGTGACTTTCCTACAATGTATATATCTCTGACATATACTGCAGTGCTGTACAGAAAACACTGAGCCAGTCACATCAGTCTCTGTACAGAGGAGCTTACGCTCTAATGCACAATGGCAAAAGATGAAGGGAGACTACAAATCCCAGCAATACATTTATACAGCAATGCAGAATAGTATATGAATTTTACTCTGGGCTTAGTGACCCGCTGGACTCTGGGCTTAGTGACCCGCGGGACTCTGGGCTTAGTTACATAGTAATTGAGGTTGAATAAAGACACATGTCCATCAAGTCCAACCTTCTGTGTGCATGTGTATGGTCCTACTGATGTGTGCGTATGTATATATAGGTCCCTGTTTGATCTCATTCTTAAGAGTACTTGTACCCCTGTATATTATGATCCCTAAGGAAATCGTCCAATCGCCTCTGGAATGATTCCACACTCTTAGCTGAAATCACAGCATGTTGCAGCGAGTTCCAGACCCTGACTGATCTAACTGAGAAGAAACCCCTTCGCCCCTTGTGCTGAAATTTTTTCTCCACCAATTTTAGGTGGTGGCCTATTGTCCTTGTCATGGAGTTAATTGTAAAAAGTTTGCTGCTAATGTTGCTATCCCCGGTAAACATTTTGTACATGAAAATCATGTCCCCCCTTAATCTCCTTACTTCCAATGAGAACATGTTTAAATTTAGTAGCCTTTTCTCATAGCTGTGGTCCTCCATCCCCTTTATGAGTTTGGTTGCCCTCCTCTGGACTCCTTCCAGCTCAAGGACATCCTTTCTGTTCACTGGTGCCCAAAACTGGACCACATTTTCCAGATGAGGCCGAACCAGTGATCTATAAAGTGGCACTTGTCCTTGCAAAACATTCCCCTCTTAATACAGGACAGGACCCTACTTGCTTTGTTTACAGCAGCCTGGCACTGCAAGCTATTATTCAACCTGGTCTACAACGGAGTTCCCATTAGTGTGTAATCCGCTTGCTTATTTTTAACCCCGAAGTGCATTACTTTACATTTATCAACATTAAACCTTATCTGCCATGTAGTTGCCCACTCCCCTATTTTATCCAGGTCCTCCTGTAATGTTATGGTGTCTAAGTCCGTGTCTATTACCCTCCCGATT